ATTGTTACTGAGGGACACACAGAATTGTTACTGAGGGACACAGAATTGTTACTGAGGGACACAGAATTGTTACTGAGGGACACAGAATTGTTACTCAGGGACACAGAATTGTTACTCAGGGACAGACACAGAATTGTTACTGAGGGACACAGAATTGTTACTGAGGGACACAGAATTGTTACTCAGGGACACAGAATTGTTACTCAGGGACAGAATTGTTACTGAATTGTTGTTACTCAGGGACACAGAATTGTTACTGAGGGACACAGAATTGTTACTGAGGGACACAGAATTGTTACTCAGGGACACAGAATTGTTACTGAGGGACACAGAATTGTTACTGAGGGACACAGAATTGTTACTCAGGGACACAGAATTGTTACTGAGGGACACAGAATTGTTACTCAGGGACACAGAATTGTTACTCAGGGACAGACAGAATTGTTACTCAGGGACACAGAATTGTTACAGGGACACAGAATTGTTACTCAGGGACACAGAATTGTTACTGAGGGACACAGAACAGAATTGTTACTGAGGGACACAGAATTGTTACTGAGGGACACAGAATTGTTACTCAGGGACACAGAATTGTTACTCAGGGACACAGAAATTGTTACTCACTCAGGGACAGACACAGAATTGTTACTCAGGGACACAGAATCGTTTAATTAAAGAGTATGTCAGACAACATGCAGAGGAGTGGCAGAGGAGGCAATGTTTTAGGAGCGAGCAGACGTGGCAGCAGAGGAAGGGGTCGAGGCAGCACTAGTCGCAGCCAGAGGCCAGTGCTCCCGGTGTCATCCAGCGGTCGTGTCTCCACCGACAACCCTGCCGTCATCGATTGGTTGGCTCGGTCGTCTTCCTCTTCCCAGGTCACCTCTGACACCTACAGCCAACGGTCGGTGGGTACGTCAGACACAACCGTAGTTGGCATGGCCCGGGAGCAAGCCCACTGAAATCACGTGTCCTCGACCTGCCCCTGTCCTTTGGTGTTCCCTCACCAAGCGAAGTATCGCATGCTGTGGGCTCAGCCCCACTGTACAGTGAGGAAGAGCTAACAGAGGGCGGTCAGGAACGGGGGGAGACATCCGCCTCTTCAGCAGCCAGGCGAAGAAGTAGTGGCGAGGAGAGTGGCTCGGTAGCCGGTCTAGAGACAGGTCTGTCTCCTGACCCACACGCAGCCGAGGGGGCTAGTAGTGAGGCGGAGGAGACCCTAATTGATGATGAGGGCTGATCGCACTTGGCAGCCTCGTCGTCATCAGGCTATTGCTTCCGCATCATCAGGAGAAGAGGGTGGCAGGCAGCTTGGCAGCGAGCAAAACAGTCGGTGGGTTGCCCAGGAGGCAGCAGGGTCGCAGCAGTGTCAGTGGAGGCAAACGGCCACGGAGTAGAGCACCAGCTCCACTGCAGCCTACCACCACGGCCAGTAGTGGTGCCGGTGTGCACGGAGGAAGTAGCAGTCAGCCAGTGAGGAGGAGTATCGGGGGCAAAGTTTCCTACTCGGCGGTGTGGCAATTTTTTGTCAAGCCGCCCGAGGAAGTAAACGTAGCCGTATGTCGACTATGTGGCCAGAAAGTCAAGCGTGGCCAGGGGGCCCATGTTGGGACTACAGCGTTGCGGCAGCATATGCAGCGTCGCCATTTGGTGGCCTGGGAAAACCGTGATAAAGATACGGCGGTTCTGCCTGCCCCAGCCCCCGCTCCATCACCCGCTCCGTTACTTGCTCCGTCACCCGACGTCAATCGCCCTCTATCAGCCAGTCAAGGCTCCAACACCTCTGCTGAGGGGAGTTGTCGCTCGTTGGCATCTTCCGCTCGTTCAGATGCTCCTTCTCCTGCTACTCCTCTTCACGGATTCCGTCAGCAGTCTTTCTTGGAATCCGTTTCCAAGAGACAACAGTTTGCGAGCACGCACCCGACGGTGCAAAAGCTGAACGTCCTCCTGTCCAAGTTGCTGGTGCTGCAGTCCCTCCCCAAGTTCCAAGTGGTGGACTCAGCACCTTTCCGAGAAATGATGGCTTGTGCCGCGCCGCGGTGGAGAGTGCCAAGCCGTCATTTCTTCGCCAAAAAGGCAGTGCCAGCCCTGCATTCACATGTAGAAGAGATGGTGGGCCAGTCTTTGAGCATGTCGGTCTCTGCCAAAGTGCACGGCACGGCAGCGCCGACGTGTGGAGCTGTAACTACGGTCAGGGACAGTACATGTCATTTACGGCCCACTGGGTGAACGTGGTGCCGTCACAGCCGCACCAGCAACTTGGACAGGTCACGCCGCTTTTGCCTCCACGTTTGCACGTCCTTGGTCCACAAAAGATGTCCGCCTCTACCACCTCTTCTTCCGCCGTGTCCTCAGCCGCCACCCCCGTGCCAAGTCCCATTACCCGACCGGCATATCACATGTGCAGGGCGCAACGGTGTCACGCTGTGCTGCACCTGGTATGCCTTGGCGAACGTAGTCACACAGGGGAGGAACTTCTCAGTGTAATGAACAGAGAAATCGACAGATGGCTGTCTCCGCGCAAACTGAAAATCGGAACCATGTTGACCGACAACGGAAAGAACATGGTGTCTGCTCTGCGTCAAGGAAGGTTGTGCCATGCGCCATGCATGGCTCACGTGTTCAATCTGGTTGTCAAGCGGTTCCTAAAATCCACCATCCCACTGCAAGACATCCTTAAAATGTCACGTAAACTTTGCATGCATTTCAGCCATTCCTACACCGCAAAGCACACCCTCCTTGAGCTGCAGCGGCAGAACGGAATTCCACAGCATCGCCTGATCTGCGACGTTGCAACAAGGTGGAATTCAACCCTACACATGTTAGACCGCCTTTACGAACAGCGAAAGGCCATCACCGATTTCCTGATGTTACAAGCGGATAAAGGTACTCCCCTGTGTAACTTCGATGTCAGCCATTGGCAGCTCATGCGTGACACCTGCCGCTTGCTCAGGCCCTTTGAGGAGGCCACGCTATTCGTGAGTCGGCAGGACTATGGGATGAACGACGTCATTCCTCTGTTGCACGTCCTGGAACAAATGCTGTTAACAATGGCTGGTCAGGGTGCGGTAGACGTGGCGCACAGATCTCAACGCCACATGACCCCTGTGGGGGCAGGACAGGAAGAAGAGGAGGAGGTAGAGGAGGACATTTGTGCTCAGGAATATTGAGTGAAAATGGTGGTGGTTTTTCCACTCAGCGGACAGGAGTGGAGGAGCAGGAGCATCTGGTAGAGGAGGAGGAGGAGGAGGAGACAGAGGACCCAGACGCACCGTGGCAGTATGCTGTGGAGATGGAGGCAGGGAGTCCCTCGCATTCCTTGGCACAAATGGCCCATAGCATGCTCGGTTGCTTGCGTAGCGACAGCCGAATAATAACCATCAGACAGAGGGATGACTTTTGGCTGTCCACCTTGTTGGACCCTCGCTACCGTTCAAAAATGGTGGCCTTTTTTCACACCTGCTGAGAGGGAGGCCAAAATAACGTACTATAAAAACCACCTATGTAGTCAGTTGGTCTCTGCCTTTGTGCGCCAACGTCCATCCTCAGACACTGTGGGCCCTGTGCGCTCGCGTTCCGCTGCCATGGCAGCAGGGGAGGGGTGGGGTGGTAGGAGCAGTGGCAGCTCCACCAGCAGCGGCTGCCTCAGTCTGCAGTCGATGATGAGTAGCTTTTTTTCACAGCGCAGTGAGGAAACTACTAACCAGCCGCAGCAGCAGCAGCAGCATCAGGTGGACCTGGAGCAGGACCTCAAACAACAGGCTTGGGCCTACTTGGACAGCACCCTGCCAACCGAGGTAGACAATCCCCTTGACTACTGGGCAACGAAACTTGACCTTTGGCCCCAACTAGCTGAATTTGCCCTTGAAAGGCTGTCATGCCCCGGCCAGTAGCGTGGCATCGGAGCGCGTGTTTAGTGCGGCAGGAGGTATTGTAACTCCGCGGAGGACACGACTGTCCACCCAAAGTGTGGAGAGACTCACGTTTGTGAAAATGAATCAGGCGTGGATTAGTCTGGATTTCAAACCACCAGTTCCTGACACAACTGACTAAATCCGCCATGAATCATGCCCCAAACATGTGCCACTTTCAGGTCTCCTCACACTGCTGGTGTGTTCCATTTTTTGTCATAGGGTGCTGGCAGATTACGGGCCTTAGCTGCTGCCAGGCCCCTAATCTGCCATGGGCCCCTAGCTGCTGCTGCCAGGTCCAGCTCTCATGCCCATTGCTGCCATGTGCCAGGCCCCAATCTGCCATGGGCCCCCCATATACCGCCTCCTCATGCTGCTGCCAGGTCCAGAGTCTCTCATGGGTCCCTGTACGGCCTCCCATTGCTGCTGTCTCCATCGCCACACTCTGCCATGTGCCACTTTCAGGTCTCCTCACACACTGCTGGTGTGTTCCATTTTTTGTCATAGGGTGCTGGCAGATTACGGGCCTCCCATAGCTGCTGCCAGGCCCCTAATCTGCCATGGGCCCCTGTACCGCCTCCTCATCATGCTGCTGCCAGGTCCAGAGTGTCTCATGGGTCCCTGTACGGCCTCCCATTGCTGCTGTCTCCATCGCCACACTCTGCCATGTGCCACTTTCAGGTCTCCTCACACTGCTGGTGTGTTCCATTTTTTGTCATAGGGTGCTGGCAGATTACGGGCCTCCCATTGCTGTGCCAGGCCCCTAATCTGCCATGGGCCCCTGTACCGCCTCCTCATGCTGCTGCCAGGTCCAGAGTCTCTCATGGGTCCCTGTACGGCCTCCCATTGCTGCTGTCTCCATCGCCACACTCTGCCATGTGCCACTTTCAGGTCTCCTCACACTGCTGGTGTGTTCCATTTTTTGTCATAGGGTGCTGGCAGCAGATTACGGGCCTCCCATAGCTGCTGCCAGGCCCCTAATCTGCCATGGGCCCCTGTACCGCCTCCTCATGCTGCTGCCAGGTCCAGAGTCTCTCATGGGTCCCTGTACGGCCTCCCATTGCTGCTGTCTCCATCGCCACACTCTGCCATGTGCCACTTTCAGGTCTCCTCACACTGCTGGTGTGTTCCATTTTTTGTCATAGGGTGCTGGCAGATTACGGGCCTCCCATTGCTGCTGCCAGGCCCCTAATCTGCCATGGGCCCCTGTACCGCCTCCTCATGCTGCTGCCAGGTCCAGAGTGTCTCATGGGTCCCTGTACGGCCTCCCATTGCTGCTGTCTCCATCGCCACACTCTGCCATGTGCCACTTTCAGGTCTCCTCACACACTGCTGGTGTGTTCCATTTTTTGTCATAGGGTGCTGGGCAGATTACGGGCCTCCCATTGCTGCTGCCAGGCCCCCCTAATCTGCCATGGGCCCCTGTACCGCCTCCTCATGCTGCTGCCAGGTCCAGAGTGTCTCATGGGTCCCTGTACGGCCTCCCATTGCTGCTGTCTCCATCGCCACACTCTGCCATGTGCCACTTTCAGGTCTCCTCACACTGCTGGTGTGTTCCATTTTTTGTCATAGGGTGCTGGCAGATTACGGGCCTCCCATTGCTGCTGCCAGGCCCCTAATCTGCCATGGGCCCCTGTACCGCCTCCTCATGCTGCTGCCAGGTCCAGAGTGTCTCATGGGTCCCTGTACGGCCTCCCATTGCTGCTGTCTCCATCGCCACACTCTGCCATGTGCCACTTTCGGTCTCCTCACACACTGCTGGTGTGTTCCATTTTTTGTCATAGGGTGCTGGCAGATTACGGGCCTCCCATAGCTGCTGCCAGGCCCCTAATCTGCCATGGGCCCCTGTACCGCCCTCATGCTGGCCCCTGTCTCTCATGGGTCCCTGTACGGCCTCCCATTGCTGCTGTCTCCATCGCCACACTCTGCCATGTGCCACTTTCAGGTCTCCTCACACTGCTGGTGTGTTCCATTTTTTGTCATAGGGTGCTGGCAGATTACGGGCCTCCCATAGCTGCTGCCAGGCCCCTAATCTGCCATGGGCCCCTGTACCGCCTCCTCATGCTGCTGCCAGGTCCAGAGTGTCTCATGGGTCCCTGTACGGGCCTCCCATTGCTGCTGTCTCCATCGCCACACTCTGCCATGTGCCACTTTCAGGTCTCCTCACACTGCTGGTGTGTTCCATTTTTTGTCATAGGGTGCTGGCAGATTACGGGCCTCCCATAGCTGCTGCCAGGCCCCTAATCTGCCATGGGCCCCTGTACCGCCTCCTCATGCTGCTGCCAGGTCCAGAGTCTCTCATGGGTCCCTGTACGGCCTCCCATTGCTGCTGTCTCCATCGCCACACTCTGCCATGTGCCACTTTCAGGTCTCCTCACACTGCTGGTGTGTTCCATTTTTTGTCATAGGGTGCTGGCAGATTACGGGCCTCCCATTGCTGCTGCCAGGCCCCTAATCTGCCATGGGCCCCTGTACCGCCTCCTCTCATGCTGCTGCCAGGTCCACAGTGTCTCATGGGTCCCTGTACGGCCTCCCATTGCTGCTGTCTCCATCGCCACACTCTGCCATGTGCCACTTTCAGGTCTCCTCACACTGCTGGTGTGTTCCATTTTTTGTCATAGGGTGCTGGCAGATTACGGGCCTCCCATTGCTGCTGCCAGGCGTACATCTGTCCTCATCCTCATGCTGCTGCCAGGTCCACAGTGTCTCATGGGTCCCTGTACGGCCTCCCATTGCTGCTGTCTCCATCGCCACACTCTGCCATGTGCCACTTTCAGGTCTCCTCACACTGCTGGTGTGTTCCATTTTTTGTCATAGGGTGCTGGCAGATTACGGGCCTCCCATTGCTGCTGCCAGGCCCCTAATCTGCCATGGGCCCTGTACCGCCTCCTCATGCTGCTGCCAGGTCCAGAGTGTCTCATGGGTCCCTGTACGGCCTCCCATTGCTGCTGTCTCCATCGCCACACTCTGCCATGTGCCCACTTTCAGGTCTCCTCACACACTGCTGGTGTGTTCCATTTTTTGTCATAGGGTGCTGGCAGATTACGGGCCTCCCATTGCTGCTGCCAGGCCCGTAATCTGCCATGGGCCCCTGTACCGCCTCCTCATGCTGCTGCCAGGTCCAGAGTGTGTACATCATGGGTCCCTGTACGGCCTCCATGTACCGCAGCGTCGCCATTGCTGAGTCACCCATCGCCACACAGCCCTACCTGCCATGTGCCACTTGCACAGGGTCTCCTCACACCAGCTGGTGTGTTTCCATTTTTTGTCATAGGGTGCTGGCAGATTACGGGCCTCCCATAGCTGCTGCCAGGCCCCTAATCTGCCATGGGCCCCTGTACCGCCTCCTCATGCTGCTGCCAGGTCCAGAGTCTCTCATGGGTCCCTGTACGGCCTCCCATTGCTGCTGTCTCCATCGCCACACTCTGCCATGTGCCACTTTCAGGTCTCCTCCTGCACACTGCTGGTGTGTTCCATTTTTTGTCATAGGGTGCTGGCAGATTACGGGCCTCCCATTGCTGCTGCCAGGCCCCTAATCTGCCATGGGCCCCTGTACCGCCTCCTCATGCTGCTGCCAGGTCCAGAGTGTCTCATGGGTCCCTGTACGGCCTCCCATTGCTGCTGCCAGGAGGCAGCCATGCCACTTTCAGCAGTCTCCTCAGTGGAGGCCATTTTTTGTCATGGGGCTGGCAGACTTACCAGCCTCCACTGCTGCTGCCACCACGGCCCTAGTCTGCATGGGAGGGAAGTAGCAGTCTGCTGCTGCGGGGGCAAAGTTTCCTATGGGGGTTTTACGGCAATTTCTCCATCGTCACAGGCCATGTGCCACTGTCAGGTCTCCTAACACATGCCGTGTGTTCCTTTGTGGCCAGGTGAAGATTAAGGCCTGGCCATAGCTGGCCAGGCCCCTAATCTGCCATGGGCCCCTGTACCGCCTCCTCATGCGCTGCCAGGTCCACAGTCTCTCATGGGTCCCTGTACGGCCTCCCATGGCTGCTGTCTCCATCGCCACAAGATGCCATGTGCCACTTTCAGGTCTCCTCACCAGCCAATGCTGGTGTGTTCCATTTTTGTCATAGGGGTGCTGGCAGATTACGGGCCTCCCATTGCTGCTGCCAGGCCCGTAATCTCTGCCATGGGCCCCCGTACCGCTCCTCATGCTGCTGCCAGGTCCACAGTAATCTGTCATGGGCCCTGTAGTCGCTTGTCCCATTGCTGCTCGTCTCCATCGCTCCTTCTCTGCATGTGCCACTTCAGGTCTCCTCAGCAGTGCTGGTGTGTTCCGTTTTTTGACATAGTTTGCGAGCACGATTACGACGGTGCAGAAGCTGAACGTCCTCCTGTCCAAGTTGCTGCTGCCAGGCTCGTAATCTGTCATGCGCCCCTGTTACCGCCTCCTCATGCTGCTGCCAGGTCCAGAGTGTGTCATGGGCCCCCGTACCGACTCCTCATGCTGCTGCCAGGGCCCGTAATCTGTCATGGGCCCCTGTACCGCCTCCTCATGCTTCTGCCAGGTCCAGAGTGTGTCATGGTTCCCTGTACGGCCTCCCATTGCTGCTGCCAGGCCGTAATCTGCCATGGGGCCCCGTACCGACTCCTCATGCTGCTGCCAGGCCCGTAATCTCTCATGGGCCCCTGTACCGCCTCCTCATGCTGCTGCCAGGTCCAGAGTGTGTCATGGGTCCCTGCCTGGGTCCAGAGTGTGTTCGGCCTCCCATTGCTGCTGTCTCCATCGCCACACTCTGCCATGTGCCACTTTCAGGTCTCCTCACACTGCTGGTGGGTTCCATTTTTGTCATAGGGTGCTGTATGGCCTCCCATTGCTGCTGCCTCCACCGCCAAACTGTGGCTCCACACTCTGGTTTTGGCCCCGTGACTGCCCAAATGAGTGAAGTGTGCGGTGATTCTAAGATCGACGGCACTCATCTGCATGTCATACTGACTGACAGTATTATTTCTCTTCCCCAGCAGACTCCAAGGGCATTTAAATTAAAGGTACAGTGTTTTGCACTAATATAAAGGCCCTCTGAAGCCTAGAAACACCCTTTTATAAGTTAAATTCGCAGCGAATATATTCGACTCGAATCGAAATTTTTTCACGAATTTGCCGAATCAGTCGAATCGAATTTTTTGAATAATTCGCTCATCTCTAGAAAATAGAAATGTAGGGAAGGGGGAGAAAGAAAATCCCCTGGCACAACACTTTTAAGAAGTACATGGGGGAAGAAAAGAACAGAAGGCCTGAAAGTTAAAGGGATCTTTTTGCTGAATATTTCAGCTAGACGGGGTGACTTTAATAAAGTCCTTCTCCAAAAAGAAAAATTCTGGGTTTATACCCTAGGAGCACTTGTCCCCTATGGATTAAATACAGAACTCAACTTTAAAGTCTTTTTGAAATAAATTTTTGAAGCTATATATTTTTTCCTGTATTACTATGATCATACTGTTAGTTCTAAATTAGGAAAATATGGATTCTCTCTGCTATAATATACCCTAGATATGAGGGCCCTTAGGGGACTAAATAGAAAATGTAACTTGTTCTAGGTTCTATCTTGTCTCAAATTTGATCTCTGTATCATCTAAAATATTAAAAAAGATAGTATTAAAATATAGACTTTCGCTTTGCCTTGGGGGTCCCCTGCTCCCCCCCTCTCTTTTGGCCCCTGGATCTGGAATTATTATTTTTGTCCTTTCTTTCCACCTTCACTAAAGAATATCTTTCTACTGAAAAATAAGGCTTTCCTATGTAATGTCAGCAGTCACTATATGTTTTTAAACTCACTTTGGATTTTTTAATGTAGTGATATCTTTTCAACACAAGAGGGCGACATGGAGATTTCTCTGTATGCAATTAGTGTACTATATAAGGCAATGGAAATGAAGTCCCCTCCCAGTTCTGACGAAGTCCACGGTGATTGGCAGACGAAACGCGTCAACGTAATGACGTCACTACGCTCGGCGTCTTTATAGGGTGCGGTGCCCACGAGGAGGGAAGGAGCGGCGTTTGCTCCAGCTCCATGTTAAGAAGGCACGAGGCTCTGAAAAAACTACCATAAGGCTATCTTTCCAGCAGTCCGCATGTGGCAATACTAAATAGAGCATACCTTCCACCGGTGGCAAGTTATTTTTTGCTTATTTGGCTAAGTTAGCGGGTAGTCGCTGGTTAGGCTTATTCAGCCCATATGGAATTTTTATGGAATACTATATGTGCCTAGTACCCCTGTTTTTTCAGGGAATTTTTTGGAAATCCTCTGTAGGTGAATATATGTATTCTCTATCACACATGTGCTATATGCTGTGATATGGTGATATCCCTAAGGAACCGCCCTGCTATCTCAGTTTGAGTAATTTTTGGAAACCCTTCAGTGGGTATATAGATTCAGGTATATATTGCCTGCTGTATATACACTACTCTTTTTGAAGTTTTTGTTTTGAGACTACCTGGCTTCCCACTCATATATACACTACTAAACAAGCAGAAAGGACCTGATCTTATTTCAAGTCGACGTGCAGTCCTCTTGATCATCATTGATGGTAATATATACCTTTATATATTTTTTGTTTTTATTCAGAGATTCTGCCTGATATTTATGATTTATATACTTTATATATATCCTTAGAATCAAATTAGAATCACCTGTACTGTGGACTTTGTTTCACTTGGGGTGGTTACCCAGGAAGTCTCTACACTCATCATGCTGGTATGACAGCCAAGTTACTGAGAAGGTAATGGGAGTAATAGTTCATCTTTACATGGGGTAGAGTTGGTGCGATATATATGTTATTCAAAGTTTTTGATCACCATCTTTCTGTGTTCTAGTTTTTACTCACCAGGAAGTTACTCTACATATCCACACATACCAAGAATATGTCTGAAGACTACATGGTCAATCTTAATACAAGACTGGACTATATGCAAACTTAGGAGCATACTGCCAGAAAATCCTATTGCCTTATATGGTTCCCTATGTGCCCAAACCACCCAGAAATGAGGACGCTAAGTGCTTTTAAATGATTTTATTTTGTTTGATATGTTCACTGTGCTCGTGCTCAACCTCCTTATGATCTATGTGATCAAAATAAAGTACTCTTTGTAATTACTGAACCTATATTACTCCGCGTGGATGTTTAAGTAACCACTTTTCCTTTGGGTGGTGTTGCTCTTGTCACACTACCATATTTTCTATTTTGAATTCAATGGCACCCACAATAGATCTTAGAGCTATAAAGAAGTTTAGTCTTCAAAAAGAAATAAGCTAAAGCCCTCAACTTCATGCAAACTGATCAGTGACAAAACAGTTTAATGATATAGTCTGCGAGCTTCTTCTTTCACAGTACATTCTGGGGTTTACTTACGATCATGGGGTCCATAACAAATCTTTGATGGGGCCCCTTCAGCGACCTCCCTACTGTCATTGAACTTAACATTTAACTTAGTCAAGACATTACTGTGGACAGAAGTTGTCAGGCAAAAGAGGAACATTCACTTCAGGGAATTACCATTTAACATTATTTTCCAGTTAACCACTCTATCTTCAACAGCTAACCACTTTCAAAACAAGAAAGTATTGAAATAGGTGGTCCTGTTGTCATTAAAATAAAACATAAGACCTAGAAACAGAAAATGAAATAAAATATGCCTCTGATCAGAATACATACATACATACATACATACATACATACATAAATAAATAAATAAATAAATAAATAAATAAATAAATAAGTAAATACCACGAATTTCTAAACCCTTGCCTACATTGTTTTTTGCTTAGGTTCAGTCATTTTAGCCCTACTAAAGGCTGGTACAGCCCACTGTATAGCCCACTGTACAGGAAAAAATAATTCTGCTTGGGTAAACATATTTATATAAAGGATATGTGTCCTCTGCCTTAGTATAGTTGAATTTGGAGACCATATACAGTTAGGTCCATATATATTTTGAACACAAGCACAATTTTAGTTTTTTCAGGTATTTACCAAAACATATTCAAGCTATAGTTATATAATGGACATGGGCTGAAAGTGCACACTCTCAGGTTTAATTTGAGGGTATGTACATCCAAATTGGATAAAGGGTTTAGGAATTACAGCTCTTAAGAGTAGCCATCTCCCTTTTCTCAAGGGACCAAAGTAAATGGACAATTGAATCAAAAGCTGTTTCATGGCCAGATGTGGGCTACTCCTTCATTATTTCTTAATCAATTAAGCACGTCAAAAGGTCTAGAGTTGATTCTCAGTGTGGTATTTGCATTTGGAATCTATTGCTGTGAACCTACATCATGCGTTCAAAGAAGCTGTCCATACAAGTGAAACAAGCCAATAAATAAACAGTTTGGTACATTCTCATGAAAGAAGAATGCACTGGTGAGCTCAGCAACATAAAAGGCATGGACGTCCACGGAAGACAACAGTGGTGGAGGATCCCAGGATCCTCTCTATGGTAAAGAAAAGCCCATTCACAACATCCAGACAAGTGAAAGACACACTCCAGGAGGTGGGCGTATCATTGTCATAGTCTACAATTAAGAGAAGATTTCCCGAGAGCAAATACAGAGGGTTCACCACAAGGTGCACACCATTCATAAGCCTGAAGAATAGAAAAGCCAGATTAGAGACTTTGCCAAAAAACATCTAAAAAAGCCAGACCAGTTCTGGAAAAACATTCTTTGGACGGATGAAACTAAGATTAATCTGTACCAGAATGACAGGATGAAAAAAGTGTGGAGAAGGCTTGGAACAGCTCATGATCCAAAGCACACAACAGCATCCGTAAAACATGGTGGAGGCAATGTGATGGCATGGGCATGCATGGCTTCCAGTGGCACTGGGTCATTGATGTTTATTGATGATGTGACAGAAGACAGAAGCAGCCGGATGAATTCTGCAGTGTTTATAGATATACTGTCAGCCCAGATTCAGCCAAATGCAGCAAAGTTGATTGGACGGCGCTCCACAGTACAGATGGACAATGATCCAAAACACATTGCAAAAGCAACCCAGGAGCTTTTGAAGGAAAGAGAAGTGGAATATTCTGCAATGCCCAAGTCAATCATCTGATCTCAACCCAATTGAGCATGCATTTCACTGAAGGCAAAACTAAAGGCATAAAGACCCACAAACAATGAGCAACTGAAGACAGCTGCAGTGAGTGCCTGGCAAAGCATCAGAAAGGAGGAAACCTAGTCTTTGGTAATGTCCACGGGTTCCAGACTTCAGACAGTCATTGCCAGTAAAAGGATTCCCAACATAATATTAAAAATGAACATTTTATATATGATTATATTCATCTGTCCAATTACATTTTAGTCCCTGAAAAAGGAGGGATTGTGTATAAAAATGGTTGCAGTTCCTAAAATTTGTACTTGATATTTATGCTCAACCCCTGGAATTAAAGCTGGAAGTCTGCACTTCAAATTCATTTGGATTGTTTCATTTTAATTTATTCTGGTGGCATACTGAAAATTGTGCCTGTGTCCAAATATATATGAACCTAACTGTAAATTCACATACTGCAGCTGTGGGACAAACACATTTGTATTTATTATGGATATCCAGCATGATTCCTGATATCCTTAAAATTGTATTGCATGTTATTGCTTATTATACTCTTAAACAGAGGAACTACTGCAACCAGCATATGACATTAACCATAGGTATATACAGTAAATGCACACCAGAATGGAAATAGTACAAGCTTTACATAAGAAAATATTAATATTAATATATCCAAGGTACATACATGCATCATCAGTAAAAGACCCAACAAGAGTCCTGGTGGAATTGTGCAATATCAAACACAGCAAATACTTTACTCCTGCGCTGGTGATGGACTCAGCAGAGGCTAGGATGATAATGTAAATGTTCTAGAATATGCACTGCTTGCTGCCCTCAACGGGCCAGGGTTGTCCAAAGTCACTGAATGCAAAACAAAAAGAGGGCTA